CCATCTCTTTCACATAGGAGCACTATAGGAGCATAATAGGTTGAATGCTTAAACTTTTTGTTCTTTTATACAGGGTGTCCCAGAATAGCGTGTGCAACGGAAGACCACAGATTCGTGGACTTAAAATAGACAGAGTTAGGCTAATTCACTTATATCCAAAATCGCTTAGTTTGGCCGTTAGATGGCCTCAAAGTTCTTGAAAAATTTTTGAATTTTGTAAATAACAAATACGTATTATTCGATTTTGATTGTTTTTGGTGTGTGGACGTTTGCTTTCAATCTACACATTTTGGTGTTATAACAAAGTGTTTTTTTTAAACTCCTACAAAATTAATGTATGGTAATAATATCCGTTCAATTAAGTTCTTATCGTAATTCAATATTATCGGTGTGTATGCATTTAAAGGCAATAGCATGCAACTAGCTTGCAGGAGATAGCTCCTGGTATGTGTATTTATTAAAAGGCATGCCTGTAGAAGGCGCGCAAGTAAATTGCACATCATATACTAACGAGGCATTCCATTTTACTTGCAAATGTATCAGCAGTATGCCATCTGCCGGCATATGCCATTTCTTAGCATGCAAGTTACTTACCTATTTTACTGATATATAGTATTTCCGCCTTTTATGCTAAAATTGAAGCTGTTCTTCCGATTCTCCTTTATCGCATTGTTTATTTATTTTAACTTCTTGTATGATATGACTCATCTGTACCTGCATGACATTCCAGGACGCTTACGTCACCCACATCGATGGCGCTCGCGTTATTTATATATTTTTTCTCCCTTATAACAAAAGATTGGTACCAAGAGGCCGTCGCCGCTGCTGCTGCCGGCCCGGTCCAATGCTTGCATGGCCAGCTAACACCGGCCGCCAGTTGCCCGCCGTCGGATACTTGCATGACCAGCCGACACCGGCCGCCCGCTGCCTGCTGCTATATACTAGCACCTCTCTCACCGATTCCACTCGTACAAATTTCGAACCCACTACACTCTATAGCGTCTCTTGCATATACAGGGTGTTTCAGGATTAAGTCGAAAAACTTTAAGGAGATATTCCTCATAAAAAAATAAGAAAAAAATCAAGTATAAATTTTTTTCCAGAGATGCTTCATTTTCGTAATATAGGGCGTTAAAGATTAAAAAAAATCGAATTTTTTAAATAACTTCTAAATGAAGAAGGCTATTTAAGCCAAATTTGGCATCTTATAAGATACCATTTTTCCATAGAAGTAGAAGTCCCGCAAGCAACGAGTGGCGGAGTTATGGGGACTCAGACTCATTAAATTATAAAAAAAATAATACGGCCCTACTGAAAATAAAAAATGATGCTGTTTTTAGATAGAACAGTTTGTTATTGTGGTGGAGCTCTATCATGCATAAACCACATATTAGCTCTGAGCAGTAACGGCACACCTTCCAATAACTCGGGTAAAGTGTTTTGCAAAAATTTTAAACAACATTCGTCATTTAGTCTATTGGGTAGAATAACAGGGTTAATAATAATGCTATAAATGCGTTGTATTTGATTATTTTTTCTAATTTCTTGAATAAAATTAGGCGTGTTGTAAATAATTCTAATTCGTCGTATGTGTAACACGTTATATATCATCGTCGTAAACACTCACTAAGATTTATCAGGTACAATGAGTTAAAGATCAGACTGAAATTACAGTCAACCTACAAAATCAGTGCCTACTAACATTTTGTTAACCATTATAATATGGGTGGCACGATAATGTAGATATTTAAAAAATATTTTTTTGTACCCAAACCGTTCATTTAATCAAAATTCTACAAGAGGCCCAAAAACTTCCAAATCGTATCACCTATCAGATAAAAAATAGTTGTCATTATTACCCGAAAGAGAAAAAAATTATGAACGGATATTATCAACATACATCAATTTCGTAGGAGTTGCAGGTTTTTAAAAACACTCTGTATAAAATTAAAATATGTAGATTGAAAGCAAAAGTCCACACCCCAATAATAATCAAAATCGATGAATACGTGAATTCGAGTTATTTACAAAATTAAAAAAAATTTCACGAACTTTGAAGCCATCTAACGGCGAAACGAAGCGATTTCGTATATAGGTGAATTAGCCTAAATCTGCCTATTTTGAGTTCACGAATCTGTGATCCTCCGTTGTACACGTTATTCTGGGACACCCTTTATATTAATATTTATTTATTTACTTATACAGGGTGTCCCGCAATTCATGCAACAAAATTTGGTCATAGATTTTTAAGACAAATTTAGGGGACCCGTATTTTTTCTTTTTGCCAACTGGCCCCCTCGTTCGGAGTTGCAGCCCCCTGAAATCTGTACCCAAGAAGTCTTTTTTATATCTCAAAACCGTGTTGTACGAGAATCACTAAATTTGATACACAGGGGTTTTATGACATGTGGAATCTGATGGTGCAACGTTTTTTGTCGGGGAACCCCCTTAAGACAATTTTTCATGGGCCCCCTTTGGAGCCAAAAAAATTTGGTCACATATTTAAATTTCTTAAAAATTATCAGTCCACTAGAAAGCCATTAAATTTAGAAACTTTTTGTCTTTTTATACTTTTTTCGCAAAAGGCAATGTTTTCGAGAAAAATGTCAAAATGTGATCGTGATTTGCCATTTTCCTCAAAAACATTGCGTTTTACGAAACAAAATATCAAGAGACAAAAAAGTTTCTAAATTTAATGGCTTTCTAGCTAACTAATAATTTAAAAAAATCAAATTTGCGACCAAATTTTTCTGGTTCCAAAAACAAGGGGGCCCACGAAAAACCCCCACAGGGGTTTTATGACATCTAGAATCTCACAGTGCTACGCTTTTTGACGAGAAACCCCATTAATACACTTTTTCGTTGGCTTCCTTGTCTTTGGAACCAGAAAAATTCGGTCGCAATTTTAATTTTTTAAAAATTATTAGTTAGCTAGAAAGCCATTGAATTTAGAAACTTTTTTATCTCTTGATATTTGTTTCGTAAAACGCAATGTTTTTGAGGAAAATGGGAATCACGATATACATTCTATCACATTTTTGATATTTTTCTCGAAAACATTGCGTTTTACGAAAAAAGTTATAAAGAGACAAAAAGATTCTAAATTTAATGGCTTTCTAGTGGACTGATAATTTTTAAGAAATTTAAATTTTCGACCAAATTTTTTTGGCTCCAAAGACAAGGGGGCCAGGAAAAATTGTCTTACGCCAAAAAACGTAGCACCATCAGATTCCACATGTCATAAAACCCCTGTGTACCAAATTTAGTGATTCTCGTACAACAGGGTTCTGAGATATAAAAAAAAGAGTATTCTTAGGAGCGGACTTCAGGGGGCTGTAACTCCGAAAGAGGGGGCCACTTGGCAAAAATAAAAAATAAGGGTCCCCTAAATTTGTCTTAAGAATCTGTGACCAAATTTTGTTGCATGAATTTCGGGACACCCTGTAAAGGCTAGTGTTACATACACATAAAAGTGTTTTCAAATGGAACACCCTGAATCGTTCTGTATCATATTATAGAAAATCAAATTCTCTTTTTACCGATATAGACAGGGGTTACAATTTCAATTTTCTCAGATATTTGCGGTTTACTTACATTCCCAAGAATAGTACTTTAAAAATATCATAAAATGTGCCTTGAAAGGCAAATATTTGTACTGTTATTCAGTATTCTACACGTATCAAGTATTTGCTTGACAAGAAAAATGTAAAATAATTATTCTAACGAAGATATTTTGAATTTATTTTATATCCGTGGAACATTCACCGTGAATTAAAATTATTTGCTGTATTTCTATGATTTGGTATTTTGCAACTGAAACAGAACAATTAATGAAATGATGTCAGTTGGTTTTCTTAGAATTTTTCTCTAATTTTTAATGTTGTCGTAAAAGTTTTTAAATGATAGCAAGGACAATGAATAAGATAATTTCAAATAGCTAACAAATGCATTATTATAATTTTGTGAAATTTGGGATGAAGTTGAGAGGATATTATAATGAAAAGATGCTTATTTGCTCTTTATTGTACAAACGTGAAACAACGCACTTTATTAATGTAATTATGAAAAAAAATCAATGTACTACAAAGAACGCTATTGTATGTAGATGGCCGAGTTTCATTCAGGTCAAATTCTTCAAATTTTGCAAAATACCTAATCACAGAAATGCAGCTAATACTGATTCAAGGTGAATGTCCCCTGGATATAAATAAATTCAAAATATCTTCATTAGAATAATTATTCTCCGTTTTTCTTGTTCAGAAAGTACTTGATACTTGTAGAATACTAATATTTACCTTTCAAGGCACATTTATTGATATTTTAACGTAATATTCCTGAAAATGTAGGTAAATCGCAAATAAATATAAATATCGGTGAAAAGAGAATTTGATTTTCTATAATATGATGCAAAAAAACACAGGGTGTTCCATTTGAATTTAAAAAGTTTTGTCGGTTTTAAGTTTTCAAAATGTAACGCGAAAAATGAGACACATAGTATAATTTTCTTCAGGTAATTTTGACAGCGGAAGGTAGTGCATCTTATGTCCTTTGTGTATTCCGAAAAGTAAGTGAAAGCTCCCAGAACGAAGAAAGATATAAGGAATTTTCGATACGCTTGCATCTGTCAAATTTTTTGTAAAATGACGATTATCTCGAATACAGTTAAATTTAGGTACAAGGAAGTTTTCGCATTTTTTATTTATTTTAAATTTATCTTGTCGATAATGCACTAATATATAGGATGTTCCATTTAAAATAACGAAGTTGACAGCTACTTCCACTATAACCGGAAGTGCTAAGTTGATGGCATTATTTTCATTGAAGAGAGTCATATTGTCTTTAGTTCCTCTGAAACGTCTAATAGGCCATTTACCGTGAAGAACCGTATATGCACAGGGTACAGTATATATCAAATATATCTACGCATCTACGTTACATGAACGTTATTCAAAGGACCGGGGTTCCATCCTCACAGCCGGCATAGGTTTTTTTTAAATAAATTAATTCTTCTTCTCAGAGGCGGCCAAAATCCTAGAATGGGCGAATGCTAATTTGAATTTCGCGCCATGTTCTGATTGGTTCGGAATGCTGCAACCTGACTGGTCGATCAAACGGCGCCTCTGCGGAATGCTGCAATCTGATTGGTCGATCTAAACGGAAGTCAGGGCCAAAAAGGAGAGTGGAGGAGGTAAAATTCGTTAAAAATTCTCAAGATTTCGTCTTATGGCGTTTTACTCGGGGAAAGTGATCTTGACCATCCTAGCCTATCTACTTAAGTAAAATTAAATTTCATATTCTGAACAAGACTAGCCCTCGCTTGTATACACTACTGGATGAAGCAACCAGAAGTGATTGCAACAGAAAATGTCAGTTTGATCCGAATTCATCAGACTAAAAAAAAATAGATATATGCATTTCCATTCTCCTACAAAATGGCAGAGAAGTGTACCATCATTTAATTATACATTGTGTATATTTTACATTTTTCCTAACACCTCTTTCAATAAAATAATATAGTTTTTATAACCAGGTCATGCAAAATATACTGTTGAAAAAGAAATTTATAAAATGTAAATAAATACATAACCATTACCATCGTTTTACTGCCGACGTAGTTATTGACGTATAAGATATTGGTCCACCACATTTTTCTGCAATTTCTATGCTCTTGAGCTACTAAAGCATTCCACTGAGGACCTTTACCCATGTGTATTAACCATGTACATTCAAAAGCCAATATTGTAGCTAAAGTTGGTGTAAGTCTAAAATACAAAATCATAATAAATTGTTTTTAAATCAAAATAATTACTATTCCTGTGGTTAATTAAAATGGGTAGAAAGTAGAAACGCTGAACAATAATTCTATTATATACAGTTAAATATCACGTAGCTACAACAGCTATTACATTAACGTTAACTTTAAGACGAGTACTATTAAATGAATGTTTATTAAATAAATAAATAAATTTATTTTCCTTTTGGCAAATAATTACATTGTATGGGAAGAGTCAGTCATATTAGATATAAAGGTAAAAGTAAATTGGTTATACTCTTCAAGTTCATCTAAATTATTGAAACATTTACCTAAAAGATAACATTTTAATTATTTGTTAAACATTAAATTCGTAATATTTCTAAATTTAAACTTAAAGTAATTATTTTTTTATCTTTTGCACCCGTTCACGTGTTCTTTTAAAATAAAGTCATAGATAAAGGCACATGTTAGTGATAGAATTTTATAAGTTTTAAAAAGTTTTCTATAAAAATATCTTCTGGGTACTCCAGTAAATTGTTTTTGTATTATAAATACATCCAGTGAATAGAGTTACCTGATAAACATATACCACGTGTTATTCTGAAAGAATCTTGAACTTGATATATTAAAATTAACACTACACTCAAAATGGCATGCAAATTTCTAAATAAAGGCACTATCACAGTTTTCGTTATGGTCACATTTTATAACTTATGGTCTAATAACATCATCATAATAATAACCACCACGGGAAAGTGTCCTGAAGCCGACAGCGATCTAGAGCGTGTCAAAGTACCAGAGGGATGCAACGTCTCCGCTATTTCGAGGGGAAATCAGCCGCTTAGACGAGAAGCGATCAAACGTCGAGTATATTAGGTCGGCCTGAAAATCCACTAGCCCTGGTAGCACAATCGTGTGCAATTATAATACAAGTTATTTCAAGTTTACTTGAAATAGCCAAATTGTGTCAAATTGTTTTGTGCTATTGCTGAAATTTATATCGTTTCTTATGCAAGATACTTTTATAAGTATCTAACTTAATACTTGCACCAGACTTAACCAAAAGTACTTGAGTCCAAAGGGGTGAATTAGTATAAGTCAACGTGTTGCAGACATAGTCACTTGCTTTAATTTACCCCTTTGTGCTCAAGTGCCCTAAATCAAATCCATTGAAAGCTTTGATCAAGACAATTGAACAATGAATCTTGCAGTAAACCTGATGCAGATTTCAGCAGTACGTACACAGCAGTCTTATATAAGTGTCTTGTGTAAGATTTTGCTACCAGGGAGGGTGTGCACCCGATCCAAATTTGGAACATCCATAGCATAAATGCTCCATTCCACGTATTGTAACTACCATTGTTCTTCACCATTTGTATTATTATGCACATAATATACATCTAAATACATATCAAATTATTTATTACAAACCCACAATCCCCATCGAGTTAAGTTCTCTCACCAAAAAACTTATTTCTATTAGAGCCAAGCTCACACATTTGTTCGCGACGTCCACAAATAACATTAAAGGATCCGCTCCTCAAGTATCCTCATACACGCGCACTCCAAGGAGGCCGTGCCATACAGCCAACCACAGGGTTCAGCGTATCAGACAATAGAGTCCTCATACTCGCAGTGCTTATTATCTATAGAGCCCTCGTACTCGCAGTGACATTAGATTTAGAATTAGCGCTAAAAAACATTTATAAGGTCAGTCGAAACCCTATCGAAATCTTTTTCTTTGAACTACAGCCAGCGACTAATAGACATGTCTGTCAAGATATAATGTTCCTAACGTGGCATATAGAATAACGATAGCATAACTTGAAATTGTAAAACTGATTTTTTTTCAATTTCAAGTGTGTAAATATTTGCCCTTTTGATAAATTGAATTAATGTGGATAATCGTCTTAAAGATGCATTAAAATTAGAGCTACTATTTAGAGTAAATTTTGGGAGATCAGGACGTAATTGTGGGAGGCGGGAGAAATAGTTTAAAAAATGGATAAGGTACAATCCCAGTGGTCATCATAAACGTGTTCATATTGCAGGTAATTTTAGTTTGCCGCTCTCCAGTCGCCTGCAGTATTAAAACATAACACGACATCCGGAAAAAAGTTACAGACCTTCAATGCATTGGGAAGTTTTGGATTAGCGGAGATGAGCTACACTTATTTTTTACCTAAAACATAAAGGTAGAACATCCGAAAAAGCCTTTTTTGTTGTCAGAAGACGAAGGTGTTTTATGAAACCTTACTTTATTTATTGTAAAAAGGATATACTTGTTATATGTCGTCGAAAATTCATCTTTTCACAGAGAAATTAATTTTAATTTTCTGCTTCAGGTACTAGTTACGGTGAACCGAGCATTTGCAGGTATTTTAATTTAATTAAACTTCATAACTTTTTTAAATTTGTCGTTATGTTAAAAAGTTGTATTTCGGAACCACATTCTAACATCTCATGAGGCACTGATATTTGAGTAGGGTTAAAAAAATCAAGTCTAATTAAACTAGAATACTCTTAAATACTCCTATCCTTAGTTAACAGTAGTAGAAAACTGAAATTTTAGAAATATTCAACAAATACATAATTTTTATAGTAAACAAATTTACGTTTCATAAACATAAAACAACTTCATTTTCCTAAAACCTATACCAATAAAAAATGTAAGCAAAAAACAAAGGATTGTTTTAGATATTCTTAACGATATCTATTTTACAGATGGAATAAGCCTATTTTAATCTTCGGCTGCTCCAAAGATCTTGCACCAAATTTCAATGGGATATCTTAAAAAGTAACAGTTTAAGTTATCTTGAAGGGCTCTAACTTGTTATAAAAGCTAAATACTTGTACTGAGGTAACTTGATTTAAATCGCTTTATTTTCATCGAAGAAAGCTGCTCTTTTGGGGTATGATCCTTCGGTTTCGGACAATTGTTTGTTAAATTCTAATATATCGTTTCTACTTGTTAAACATCCAGCAAATCGCATGCAATAGAAATATGACCTAAATTTAGAGTTGCTTACTTACTACATTATGTTAATGTGAATAAATTTTTACCTTGCATATCTGTTGATTAAAGTCAAAATCACATGTTTTGTGCTTATATTCTTTTTGTCTTCAAGCATTTGAAAAAAGTGAAAACACAACAGCCAACCAGAAATAACAAAAAATGTTTGGACTACATATTGTCCATTTGCTACAAACATGTTCAGAACATCATTAGTAACCTGAAAATTAGAATTATTTTATTTTATATTAGGAGAGGACACAAATTGCAATTAATTTTTTATAATACAAAATTTAATGAAAATATATTTTTTTATGGAGTGTATAATATATTGTTCTATAACTTCAGGGAGCCATTCCTTGAGTTATTTTATGCAAAACAACTTTATGAAACATTAGTATAAAGCAAATGGTTTTTGGGATACTGATATAGTTTTTTAAATACCATGATTGTCTAATTAAAGAAAAAAATTCACAAACCAGTTGCGGTGATAATGGAGGACTCTGTTCCTACTTCTCATTTTGTCGTATAAGCAGATCCCAGCTACTTTCAAAAATGTACTTCACTATTATTTTAACCATGAAGTCTCCAGATAAGATAAAAACCATTCCAAAGCCATTACAACATATCAGGCAACGTTCAGAGCTCTCGAGATTGTTACACAAGTAGAGCTGAGTTACATTGGACAATTCACTCAACTTTCGAATTCCAATACAGGATGAGTGAAAACATCAATCAGCAGTTTGAAAACACAGAAGTAGATGAAGAAGCAGAACACCGAGGAAAGTATGAAAATCATTCCACCTACGAAGTCTCTGGTCAACCAGTCCGCCAACCACGGAAATCGCCCTGCTATCATTAGATGTGGCCGTCGATGATCCAAGACAACAAGACAAAGACGACGACTCACCAATTGGCGACAGATAGAAAACACAAATCTTCGAAATCACCGAAACATACTATCGAACATCTTGGTTAACTGTAGATCACTAATTAAGACAACAATGCCTGATCGCAACGAAATACTCTCTGTATTTTGTTCAGTATTGCATGTAACCAAACACATCATATTACACCCGATAAACATTTATTTAAATAAACATTTGGATAAATCTTTTCAAGCTCCGGTTCCCGACCTTATATGAGTTCTAAGTCGAAGCAAACGTGTCTTATGAGGCTATCGATAGACAGGAATAGTAGCTTATTTTCTAAGACAACCTTCTTTACCTTTTTTTAGGCAAAATAGAATTAACATTTCTAACGATGCCATCTAGGCATAGATAGAGAGACCAACTGCGTTTTTGTTATAGAAAAAAATTACATGAGAGGAAGACTCCATGTTCAAACTGTCTGCACTAATGAACAACGACTGTTCCAGAGGCTTAGCAGCTTAAAGTCTGCCGTTGAAGAAGGTGAGAAGCGAGCTCAGGACACAGAGGAAGGCTTTTTAGAATTAGGAGCGGATGTAAGCAGAACCGCTAGCTACTCCAAACTCTGAGAATACAGTAAACCAAAAAATAACCAAGTCTGGTAGTCCGTCAGGCTCTGTGGAAGAGCTTGAATATACCAAAAAGAAGTCAGTAAAGTCGACGGTGAAGCCAGTCGCTAACACTAGATGAAACAATGGAAACGGAACCGACAATGCCGACAGCAACTGAGGTGAGCAAAGCCGCCACTGCAAAAAAAAAAACAAGATCCCGTAAGTAGTCTTGACAAAAGCAATGGACGGAGAGCAAAATTACTGGTACCTCATACGGGCTCTTGCTGCTAGTTTAATAGAATTCAATTTTTATTTTCAAATTAACAATTCGCAAAACCAAGGAGTTGATGCTCCTGATCCCCATCCAGATCCACGGGACAGGACAATATTTTGAAGGTGACAAAATGATGTTACCTAGTTATTTATAACCAACTCACTGCCATTACTGCCAATGTTTCGGCTACGTTGAAAGTCGTCGCCACATGGCGAAGTGTAAGAAGACTCGAGAGGCACCTATCAACTGTGTTAACTGTGGCGGAGAACACTAAGTTACCGCGGCTATCTCAACCCACCCCAAACCGACAGCCAAAAACGTAACAGCAGACAAACATTGCACAGAGACACCTCATGCTGCTGTACTGTCATTAACCGTTACTTGCAACTTTGCAATAAATACAATACGCGACGGATCAAAGGTCCTATATCCGCTCGTCCGAGCAATGACAATACATTTTTCCTACTCAGCAAAAGTTTGAATTATTGTAATTATAGAAAATAAATCAGTCTTAACTCGAACTGTCTTTTAATTGACATCGCTCGTATCTCTACCCCAAAAGACAATACTACATGGCGACCATGCCAAAAAATTAGAAGATTCCAGGATGTAGTGCATTAGCAAAAGAAGTTTAAATCAAACAAAATGGGGAACCAGAATATAAAAGAAGAAATTTTAGTCAATCAAAATAACGGAAGCAAAATTATTCAGCGATAATTATTATGGAACAATAGTAATTTTGTCCCTACTAGTGATCTGCTGTTTTGCAATATTCTTTTGCACAACATTGTTTAAAAAACGAATTACTGCAAATGTAATCAAAGACATAAAAGCACAGGCAACATTCACCGTTTAGAGTACCTAGTGAAAAAAGAAGCAGTAATGTAAAAATTAAATGAAAGTAAAGAAAAAACGTTTAAAGGCAAAAAACTGTTAAATTATAATTATAAACTGAAGTTATAATTCTAATGAGAACACTATTTAATGTGGAAATTCAAGTGAAGTGAATAATGTAATTATGTATATTCTAGTTTAACTATAAGATTTCATAATTTATGACTTCCTACCAATCTCTTCTGACAATTATAGAAGAAATTGAAGTAATTAACAAAAATTTAAAGAAAGGGGGATCTAACAGAGTATACAAAGACGTCTTTTAGAAAAATTGTCAAATAAGAAATCTGCACACAAACTACATAGAAACATAAATATAATTCTATAGGAAAAACTGTTACTGCTGCCGATCAATTAGTTATAAATGACATAAAAACTAAATTTATTACATTAGTAAATTATTTCAATAACAGAAATAATCATTTATTACAACTTTGTTTCAAGGAACCTAGTACGAGTACTAAACCATTTGAGAATCCTCTAGTTTAGTTAAAACGAATTTTAAGGACGTATCTGATAGTCCAGGCAAGTTAGACCAAAATCACCCAGAATACGGCAATTTTTTTCTGATGAACCGATCGAGTTGCGGTTTTCGGCATTGTCTTCGGAAAAATATCAGGAAAAAAGTCTATATATTTCACTTTGGGGCTGGATCGAAACTGCATTGCGGGTGCATAAAGTGCATCTTGGAGTGCATCAATTTTTCCAAATTTTCTAAAAATGTTAAAAATTGACTAAAAGTTGTAGAAATTTGTGTGCACGGGTTTTTTGACCCTGAAAAATATACCTCCCCCCCCAGGGGGAAAGCGGGGGATCTTCTGTAAAACATCGAATAGCTGAGTAATTGCCTTCTAAATTTCTACTCGGGGGTTTTCGGGGTCGGGGATTCCGAATCTGACACTGGAAAATATCCATTAATATTAGCTTGTCTAGCACTGAGAAAAATTGTTGTAGAATTGGAGAAATCCTGGATAATCCGTTCCCAACAGACACATTTCGTTAAATCAAAGAAATATTCCTTAAAACCGAAGAATATTTCATGGATCATGGATTTTCAAAAGAATCTCTTGGGCTCGTGCGACTGCGGATAATGCATAACAATTCCCGACAAAATCCGATTATTATCGACAATGCAGATCTTGCGGGTGCAGGAAGCATGGAATTACATGCACAACTGTTCCAATCCTGAAATAGTCGAAAATGTAATATAGATGATAGTGATGGAGACAATGATGATGAAAATTGTGATTGATAGTGTAAGTGTTAGATAAACATATGATAGTAGTTGTCTCACTAATTGCCTTGCAAATAAAAAGAAAATTGGTTCTCAGAATAAAGTGGATTCTTTTCGACTCATTAATTTCCTGTTAGTTTTTCTTACCCTTCTAGTCTAATCTCTATAAATTTGCGTGTGTTACAATGTAAAGATAAGCCTACAAGATCATGGTTGGTAAGCGGATGGAGCAGTTTTATTGCAAAAATCTGTCTTTCGATGTTTTCCAGAAAGCCCACCCCACGGGCGTCGTGCATACTTTTTAGTGTCAGAATCGGAATTCCCGAACCCAAAAACCCCGAGTGGAAATTTAGAAGGCAATTACTCAGCTATTCGATGTTTTACAGAAGACCCCCCCCCTTGCCCCCACTGGGGGCTCCAAGGGCGTCGGGCATACTTATCAGTGTCAGAATTGAAATCCCCGACCCCAAAAACCCCCGAGTGGAAATTTAGAAGGCAATTACTCAGCTATTCGGTGTTTTACAGAAGGCCCCCCTTGCCCCCTGGGGGGGCCCAGGGGCGTTGGACATACGTTTCATTGTCAGAATCGAAATCCCTGACCCCAAAAACCCCCGAGTGGGGATTTAGAAGGCAATTACTCAGCTATTCGATGTTTTACAGAAGGCTCCCCCTTGCCCCACTGGAAAGCCCCAGGGCCTTCGGGCATATTTTTCAGGGTCAGATTCGGAATCTCCGATCCCGAAAACCTAATTTCTACAACTTTTAGTCAATTTTTACCATTTTTAGAAAATTCGGAAAAATTGATGCACTCCAAGATGCACTTTATGCACCCGCAATGCAGTTTCGATCCAGCCCCAAAGTGTAATATATAGACTTTTTTCCTGATATTTTTCCGAGGACAATGTCGAAAACCGCAACTCGATCGGTTCATCAGAAAAAAATTGCTGATTTATTGTCTAACTTGCCTGGTCTATGAAGAGATAGTTATCAAAATGGAATTTGACTTTTTCACACTCACATGTTTTTTCAGAATTTTCCGGTGAACCTGAAAATGTTATTGATTTTCTCAATGCTGCCGAATATTACCATGATTTTCTAAAAGACGAGGCAAATAAAAAACAACTATTAAGTTTTATTTTAAGAACAAAAATTAAAAAAGAAGTCATAAATGCTCTTGTATGAGATCCTAAAGATTTTACCGAACTAAAGAAAACTATAACAGACGATAAAAACTAACAGTTGCGTCAGTTCATTCAGAATTAAGTAGAGTCAAAAAGACCCACAATCAATTTCTGTGTAGGCATCCGAAATAGAAGCCCTTATTACGGATTTAAATAA